CATCGAACTTCTGGAATGCAGGAAGTTTTCACCCCAACTTGGAGTAAGTCTCTAGTAGTTTTAGTTGCCTATGGGATTGTACTGTCTTCTCCATCAACCCGGCCGCCTACTCCACTGAGTAGCAAAGGTACAACACCGCGTACTGCCTGCTTCGTTCCTTGGTCGTGCACTCTTGCATGACCCAAAGTCCTTCACTTTCGGCTATCCTGATGAGAAGCTTGTTGACACCGGTCTTACGAAGTTCCTTGACCTCCGCCCTTCAACCTTGTCTCGGTACTTAGAGTTTGCCTCTGCATGCTCCACCTCCCAGGCCCCTTTCATGACCAAGCGCTCTCCTTCCATGAGAGCAAGGGATTAATGACTTTCATGGAAGTCCCGCCTCTACGGTACCATGGCGCTGCCATGCCCATAGCCCTACTATCCGTTGCCTCGCATCTGCATCCCTTTTCTTCACGATCAGTAGATATGTCTATGTGGCACTCCTCCGAGTCCACCTCCATTCTAACTGATGCTTGATTTTGGGTAGCTAAGTCCCTCTGGACTCGTCGTCGCTTCCTCGCCCCTTTCGACCCTCTGTTTTAACACCTCTGTGTTCTCCAAGCAGCTTCCTTTGGTCGATGGAAAGATAGATTGCAACTCCCATGCATGGCCTCTGCCATCACGTTGTAGGATTTGCACCGATTCTGTTCTCCTTAGCTTCCTTGGTAGCAACGTTCGCTTACTCGACCTTGTCCTCTGACTTGCCGGGCTCCGTTAAGCGAATATGGGCTTTGGAGTAGTCCAGCTCTCCAACTGCTTCGATCATACCTCTGCATTATCAAGTCCCTCCCATGGGACTCACTAGTACTTGCATTAGAACTTTTTCCTTGGTGTAACACAGCCCCCATATGCTGATGACCAAGGCTTTCATCCGATGCAAAATTCGATACACGCACGGAAGATCCGCCTCTGCGGTACCATGACCTTCACTCCTTGAATCCATAGCCCTTCTTGCCGTCGTGTTGTTCACCGAAGTGGAGCTTCCAGTAGCTCCCGATCATACCTCCGTATAATCTAGTCCCTCACGGGACTATGTCGTGTGTATCGCATTGTCACAAACTATTCCACCACGATTCGCTGCACCATGTCGTCTCCTGGTGACATCTCCATTGTATTCTGATCCTTGTGGGATGAACTCGAATTGTGATCCCTCCATGTGTGGCCTCTGCCAATACATCGTAGGGTCTCCTTCAACTTTGATTTTGTTCGCTCCTTTGGCAATCGACCTTCATCCACCCACTCTTGGGTCGCACCTAGATGAAGCACTGCTCTAGGACAGTCCGTCGCCTAGTAGCTCCCGAAGTCTATCGACTTCACTGAAAATGGTGCACCATTGTCTGGATCCTGGGCCTCTGCCCCTACCAGCACAATCTCCGCTGCGCACCGCTTCCTTTATGACAACTTGAATGGCAACACTGTGGCATATTCTTCAAGAGTACCCGCCTCCGCGTCCTCTTGCCCTGTGCCAAGTTTTTCTGAACCCAACTTCGCCTCCGCAAGTTGAGTCGTCTTAGTTCCTCTAACAAATGCTTCTCCGAGATAAGGTGCATGTGCCCAGAAGCTCCCTTCGTCTTTGGCACCATGCAAGATGAGTCCGCTCCGTCAGAATGAAGGACCCATGGAACAACATGATCTTGCTCTTGTCTCTGCAAGAGTTCATGTCCTTAACCTCTGTCCAAGGAAAGCACTATGCCTTCGCTCCATGCTCCATCTTCTACGCCGGCTCCCTTCATGCGGCTTGGGTACTTTGACAAGTTACACCCAAGTTGCTTCGCTTCTCGTTTTTGCATTGAGTTGATGGTGGCCCTCGTGCCCACCATTCCACGGGTCAGCCCTCCCTTGAGTCCGATATCTATATCGACTTCAAGTGTGCCTTCATTTGTGTTGCTTTGAGTTGCTCCCCCACTTGATCTCGCAATGCATCCACCAATGCATTCTCTCAAGCGAGATCATACGACGACTCCTCGCCGCTTGCTCGGTCCATTAAGCTTCGTGGAGTTGTTGTTTGTTGAGGTACTCTTCCTCAACATGTGCAGTCTGTTGCACATGATTCTCCCTCTGGAGAGCCGAGAATTATCCCTCTTGGATATCTATCTCATTGGAGCAACATCTCTCTTCGTTTCGGAGACCACCATCCCCTTGGACTACTCCGATTTGCTGAACAAACTGCGCATTGTTCTGCCTCCTGCAAACGCACTTGCTAGATTGCGACTCCACGTCAATACAGCCCCCGCTGCACCACTCAAGGCCTAGCAACATGCTGAACTCGCTGCATAATTCAGCCTCGTACGGACGTATCCTTCACATGCCGAAGAGAAAGTTTCAATGCTCCATGGCGCCGAGTTTCAATCGCCTTGGGATGGCCACGAACATTCCATCGTCCGCATACAAGCCCTTGCATGAGAACCGAATTCTTTGAGTTAGCAATTCTCCTCACCTCTGTGAGCTTTGCACAACTCTTTCGGTCGTTGAGCAATTCATTCCACCTTGCATGGTCTCATCCTTTACCAAGCGCCTTGCTTGCCTTGAGCACCATCAAGTATAGTTGTCAACGTTGAGCCGTAGCTCAAACTAAGCCATCCTAACCTTTGTGTGCTCTGCATTCTTCCCAGCTTGCTTGTCCTCGTGGTGCCTCTTGCACAAAGGGTTGGCTATTCGTCTGAATGTCACTCTCAAATGCCCGTTCTTCCGAGCGACTCCTTTTTCCTACATCTCCATGCTCGTTTTCCCCCAAACGATCGCGTGTGTGCTGACTGCCCTCAACGCAGCCCCGCTAGGTCCCTCACGTTTGCATGCCAAGTGTTTCTATGAGTGCTTGTCCCACTCTGATACCATGTGTCACGGACTTAGCTGGTTTTGCCTAAGTCGTGCGGCTACCCTTGCGTGTCCGTCCGCAAAGGTCAGCTTCCCCGAAGCCTCCCATGGTGTCCCTTAGGACCTACAAACGAGAAAACGGGTTAGAGAAAACGCCTCACTCGGGATCCACAAGCAAACATTTCCGAAAACACTTCATAGACAATGCAAATTACAAACAGACTTTACAAGCTCTGAACAGTTGCATAACAAAGGGTCAAAAGTTCGACTACTCAACAACAGCAGCGTAGAGCAACTGGGAGCCAAGAGGTCTATTGCAGCTGGAGCAGAAGATTGAAGACTTAGCAAAGGTGATAAGTTACAGTGTCGGCAAAGGCTTCGACTATGACGTTGAAGGAATGGGTGGGGGAGAATGTTACGGACAAACTTCTAAACAGGATGTTTGATGTAATGCTTATGTATGTTCGTGTCTTTTGTTTTGTTAATGCTTTGCACAGTATGTAGAGGGACGGTCGAAGGTTTAACAACCCCAGTTTAGTTGGGATTGGTGGTTGTTTTATGTTTGTAAATAAAGGTTGTGTCATGTGGACGGATACGCAAGGGTGCCGCACGACTTAGGCAAAACCAGCTAAGTCCGTGACAATAGTGATCAATTTGGCTGGTTGACACGAGAGGACATTCCTTGCTAGCAAGAAAGTTTTATATTGAAATCAAAATTGGTAATGGACTTAAAGGATTGTATGGGCTTCATTATCAACTAAACGACAACTAAATGAGTGATGTTTTACTTGCCGAGAATTGAGTACCTTAGTGCTTAATTATCCTTTTCATTCTCACTAGTAATATTTTTCTCTTATGCTTTTGTGTTGCAATCTTGTACAACACAAGCTAATTTGGTATTTCAGATCTGAACTTCAGGTTAGTGTGGGTTCCACGTTTGGCGTACTGCCTGAAACAATATGAAAAGGGTCAAGTTTGACCCCAATGGTCAATTTGACCGTTGGGCCCTCTTTTGGGGCTTTAAATCCCCCCTCCTTCGCCCTTCTTTCACTCACTCTCATTAGCTCTCTCATTCTCACTCTCTTTCAGACTCTTTCTCACACTCTCGCTTGTGATTAAAGCTTCTAATCGATGATTTGTAGTAATTAAGCTATTGATTTAGATAAAAGAGGGATTCAAATTTGGGATCTGATGGAGTTCCTCTCTAATTTTAAGGTATTTAGCTTCTTTTTATGTTTTCTTTATCATTTCATATAATTAGAGGCATATCATTGCATATTTATAAAGATTAAAGATGGTTAAGGTCATTCTCTTGCGGTAGTCCCAATTAGGTCTACTGTCTTACATTTAGGCCCAAATTTGGGGCATTTAGACTTAATCACAGCCTTATACATTATTTATGGCTCATACACACAATATTCTTTGTTAAATACGATAAAATTGCCATTAATTTAGGATAAAAAACCTAAAAAGAGATTTTTTGAATTTATAAAAAATTTCAGTTTTTTTCTAAAATCGATATATCCCAATGTACGATATGCTGGTACCAATCGGTATGTACTGGTCTACCCATGACCAATACCATCAGTCAGCACGATACGATGGACCTAGCTTTTGTATGAGAAATCCTTTTTATATACATAATTTTTTATTTTTTAGAAAAAGGATTTAAGAGAAGAGTCCTCAATCCAATTAATGATTTATTATGCTGTATGAAAATAGGTGAACTGTTAAAATTGAGTCAAATTGTTTCAGCAATGGTCAGAGAAGGTCTTAATCTCGATGCGCCACCATCTTATTTGACATGCAGTTGTCTGTTCACTTTACTTTTTTAAACTGGACATTTGTTCTTCCTTCCCTACTTAATGGTAAAATGTTGTAGCAATTGTTATTAATTATCAGCCATTTTTGGGTCCTAAACATAGAGAATCATTGGAATTGTGGAGAAACAATTGAAGCTAGTTTATAATTTCGGTAAAGTTTCTTCTCGTGGTTACCTTATGCATTCATGTTGGGCCATTTATGAACTTGTTTATAAAAATATCATGACTTAATTTATAATGTGCCTTTGTATTGGTTTATATATTTTTCTTATTCTGCAGTTTAAAGTTTTCAATACTGTAAGTTTGCAACAATTTTACTTGCAGTTCTTCCTGCCTTTTCTGGGAATGTTCCTTCGGTGTTGAAATCCAAATTTCCTTCAGCTAAAATTACTCACCTTGGAAATTGGTATGATTTATGACCTAAATACTGTTTTACCTATTATCCGAGATATGGTTTTAGATTGCAATTTGATCATTGTTAATCTTCGTAATTTGAGAAGTACCATGTCATTCCTTTTTTTTGGTACAATGGCAGCTTGTCATTTTCTCTTTTTTTTTTTTCCTATATGATCTTGATATTTATCAGACAGTATTTTGTTGGGTGTCTGCACTACTGTATCATTCATCTCCGTCCACTTTCTATGATGAACCTATTTATGTTGATGATGTATTAGATAAATCAAAATTTTGAAATGCTCTTTCTGCTTTTCTATGAAGTTGTTGTGATCAGTAATTAGATTGTTGCCTAAAATTGTGTAATCTAATGATCAACCTATGATCAATAAGCAGCTAGCCTAGACTTGCTAGCAAAATAATTAAACCTTTCAGATTTACCAAGTTTAAAAGAATATAAAGTTTTTGCTAACAGTTATTTATGCAAAACAAAACCAATGATGAATCATATAAAAGAAAACACTGGGTATTAATGCATTATCATTCCTTATTATTTGTATGATACGAAAGAAAAAATGTAAATATTGGTCTAATGTCAGTTTTTGTAACCAATAAATCTGATATGGTACCAGCACACTGGGTGATATACTGACCTGTACCTTTCAGTCTCATGATAAAAAATAAATAAAGACATTGGTACTGATCAATAAGATCTGGAATTGGTCCTCGGTCAGACTGATAATACTGGAGGTCTATATCAACTGTTATAACCAAAATTTTGTTCCATCTCTAATAGTAGTTTGGATCTTAAAGATTAATTTCTTCGCATTCAACCACTACTTCAGAAACTCAAGTAAAAGAACTGCTGTGAATGGATATAGATTATTTAAGAAACTATGTTATGAGAATTTTTAACCTTAAGTAAAATGTAATCTTTTCCTTGCAGTATGTCTTAATTGTCGTTTTTCTTCTAAGTAGGTTTCAATAATGCAACTTATGCATCTTTTTTTGTTTGCAGTGTTGTATCAGTTGCTTCATACAAAGAATTTTTGTTCATAACATTTTTGCATTTGATTGTAGGGTGATATTTTGTTTTCTTCTTTGGCTACAGGTTTACAGTTCATAGTGATCCAAGGTGGTGTTGTACATATCTTTTAGATGCAACTGATCCTTTGTTTATAGAAATTGGAAAGGCATTTATGGAACAACAACTTAAAGGTACTACTTTATATTCGTATCTTGATTGGTGGGATAGAAATATGGATGTTAGTCATCGATAATCTCAATAGTATAGACTTTGAGGGCCTTGTAAGCTTTAAAAAATTGTACCATGTAATTCTTTGCACTTGAATTAGGTTTGCGATGCTCTGTTTATCAGCATCATCATTTTTTTCATTTAGCAAAGCCTATATTTTTCTGTGTCAGTATCAATACTGTCAGAAAAATCTTCCATTTAAATAGCGTTTTAGTATGAATTCTGAAATATACACATTTGGTGTTAAGGAACTTCTCCTTTGTAGTTTTATCTAAAGATCAGCGTAAAATAAATGCTTTATCTTGACAGAATTAGTGTGGGGCTATCGCACCAATTCCATAAGGCTTTTTTATCGTGGTTCTAATCACATTATTTTTATATATTAGGGAGATTATCAATACGATTTAAAAGTAGGTATTCACTAATCTATTTTGGCAGCGAGTAATTGGCACATCCTGGCATCTTATTGGCTTAAATAAGGTTTTTTTAATTTGTGCAACTGAGACGTTGTTTTCTTGGTTTGCTTGTTCTTTTGTTGGGTTGACTTGGTGTTAGTGATATTTTTTAGCTTACTCTTCATGTTGCTCTTTTACGTGAACTATTTCTTCCAGATTTGGCTGGATCTCTTTTTTCTATTCCATCTCATAAATGAAAGAGAAGTAGTCATTCACTTTTATTAAAATAATGTAAATTAGCAACTGTCAATTATTTAATATCTTTTCTGGTATACTTGCTTTTTCTTTTTCGTAAGGGTTGCATCCACCACTGTCATATTTTAATGTTTTCTGAGAAATTATGTACCCTTTCATGTCATCGCAGAAGATAATATTATAATCCATAAATTGATTAAATTTAATTGTGACCTTCCTCCAGTAATGCAACAAATTACTCATTTAAGATTTGAAACAATGTTCACTTATTCTGCAGAATATGGCAGGAGAAGTCACATATACAATTGGTACATTTCTCTTTCCATCTTCTGAGAAACCTTTATTCATGCTGCTAGTAATTTCTTTTATATGCAAGCTCTTATGTTAATTCCAAGGACTGAGCATATCCATGGGTAATGCAGATACTGCTAATACAATTCTTATAATCAAGCCTTACTAACAAAGAAAATATAACATAGCACAAATATTCCTACTGGAGAACTTAGTGTTAGCTCTTCAACAGCAGAAGTGGTCCTTTTCTTTACCAGGTGTTTTTTGTCTTCGTAACTTAATTTGATGTTATTCTTCTCATATATAAATATAAATAAATAAATAAATAAATATACAACGATTGAAATTTTGTATCGTATCGGAATTTCGAGATTTGCTCGATACGGTACAGTACTATATACCAAGCGGTATATTTCGGTATATCGCTCGGTATATATATATATATATATATATATATAAAAGAGGTAAACTACTCGGTATACCTCTCTTCTCCCCACGCGGGGCACCATCGCCGAGGCGATGTCACCTCTCTTCTCGGGCGACATCGTAGGAAAAAAAAAGTTTTGCGACGTCGCCTCTCTTGGGCAGCGTCGTAGAAAAAAAAAAAAATTTTTTTTGCGATGTTGCTGAGGTGACGTTGCAGAAGAAAAGAAATTTCGCTGAGGTATCGCCTCGCTTTGCCTCGCGATGTCGATACTCTTCTCCCCGTGCGCGGATGAGAAGTCACCGTAGATGAGGATAGTGACGTCGATCTCAGATTCTCCTTTTTTTTCTTGTTTTTCCTATTTCTTTCTTCCCCTTTTGCCTCTTCTTCTCCCTCTTTCTTCTCCCTCGGTCACCGTCGACTCCCTCTTTCTTCTCCTTTGGTCACCGTCGATGATAATAGCCTTAATCGACACTACCGCTTGGTAAAGGATGGTCCGTGTACCGGTCTGTTGATGGACCGATACATACCGCCCAGTACCGGCGGTATCATTCGGTGTTGCAAACCTTGTATATATATACATATATATATATATATATATCTATATGTGTATATGTATATATCTATATATTAATATGTATATATATACACATATATCTCTGTATATATATGTATATGCATATATATACATATATACATATCGTGGGTTATGAGGTTGCATCTTTTTCCTGGATCCCTAAAACAGTCAGATTCTACTACAGAAATTAGGCTTTTCTTTTTCATATATACATATACATATACATATACATGTATATGTATATATGTATATATGGATATACATATATATATACATATATACATATATACATATACATGTATATGTATATGTATATATGTATATATGTATATATATATGTATATATATGTATATACGTATATGTATATATGTATATGTGTATATGTATTTAAATACATATAATACATTTACACATATACATATATATATATATATATACATATATATATAAATATATGTATATACATACATACATATAAATATACATATATATATGTGTGTATATATATATATATATATATTATATGCAAGGTTCGTAATTTCGTACCGTACTAGAGTATCGAGTTCAGTTCGGTACGGTACGTTATGTTTATACATGTATACACATATATTTACACATATATACATATATATATACAAATATATATATATATACACATATATATACATATATATTTATATTTGTGTGTATATATATACATATTAATATGTATACATATGTGTGTGTGTATATATATGTATGCACATACATATATATTTACATATATATACATATACATAAACACACACACACACACATATATATATATATACACATATACACACACACACACACATATATATATATATATATATATGTGTGTGTGTGTGTGTGTGTGTGTGTGTATATATATGTACATATACATACATATATATCAATATAAATCACATTGATATATGTATGTGTATACACATACTTATACATACATACACTCACCTATATATCAATATAAATCACATTGATATATGTGATGAGTTATTTTTATGTAACCAAAGATGTTCTTGTTTGCAATATGCGTTGTAACCGACATTAGGGTGATCAAATTTATGTAACCAATCTTTTATAGATATAGAAAATTTCAAGGTCTTCAATTTCATACACTCACCTATATATCAATATAAATCACATTGATATATGTGATGCGTTATTTTTATGTAACCAAAGATGTTCTTGTTTGCAATATGAGTTGTAACCGACATTAGGGTGATCAAATTTATGTAACCAATCTTTTATAGATATAGAAAATTTCAAGGTCTTCAATTTCAAATAATTCCACCCAGTACGATCGGTACGTACCGGTTCGTCAACAGACCAGTACACGGACCGCCCGTTACTAGGCGATATATATATATATATATATATATATATATATATATATTATAAAAGGCGATGTTGCGTCGCGTTTCCCTTCTCCAATGCGGGGCGACGTCGCCCCGCCTAGGGAGAAGAGAGAGGCAATATCGTCGAATTTTTATTTTGTTATATATACACACACACACACACCGAACGGTATATCACTCGGTATACAGTATCGTACCGTACCGAGTGAATGTCGAAACTCTGGTACGGTACGATATTTCAATCTTTGAAAAATTTAGTAAGAAGCATAGGAGCATACATCATGTAACCAATCATTTTACATATAAAGGCTATCGGTGCTTTGTCATCATTTGATTTAAACTTAGTAGCTCTATTATAGATTCTCCTTTTGTCATTTTCATGAATAATTAATTACAATTGTAATGTATTATCTTTTCATTTGTTGCATGAAATAACAATTATAATTGTTTATTGTACTTACTTTTATATGCTTATTTTATAGTTTTTATTGTTCTTTTATCAAAATGTCTAGTTTTAAGAGGGAAAAAAATGCTCCTAGAAATCAATCAAATATTTGAAGAGTATGCTATAAAACTTGAAAACAATAGAAGTAAAATCATATGTAACTTATGTGAAAAGACCATCTCAGTTGGGATATGGTACAAGCAAGGTTCGTTGTATCGATCTGTACTAGTGTATCGATTATGCATCGATATGGTACACATATATACACATATATATACATACATACATATATAAAAAGTAATTTCTTGCTCGCGTTGGTACAAGAAACCGAGGTTTCCTTCTCCCCATGAAAAAAAGGGTGACGAGGCGATGTCGCCGCCTCATCGCCTCGTTTCTTCTGCCCATGTGGGGAGAAGAAATGTTGCCTCCACGATGCTCGGTTTTTTCTCCCCACGACGTCGTTGAGGCTTCTTCTCCCCGCACGGATGAGGAGTTATTGCCGATGATGCCGATGCCTCATCGCCTTAGATGAGGAGGAGGTGACATCTCATCTGCGGCGTCCGACGAGGGAGGGCTGCGATGGATCGGGATCATCGAGGGAGAGTGGCGTCGGATCTCTAGGTTCTCCCTTTTCTTCTACCTCAGCTAATACCACCCGATAGCAGGCGGCGACAGTCGAAATCGATCGTCATCGATTGATTTAGGGTGGTAGCAGAAACAGCCCCAATCGACGATATTGGCTGGTAGCGGTTGGTCAACGTACCAGTACGTACCACCCGGTACGGGCGGTATTATTCAAAATTAAAATCCTTGATGGTATGTATGGTACATGTATTGATACTGTAGTGATGCACGAGTACTAGTGCCAAGATCCGTATTGATATCATCGCTATGACCCTCGTATTCATCATAAAACTGTTCCTACGTAGCATGTATGTATTCTTCCTATTCCTTGGCTTTTTTTTGAATTGTATCATTGCTTACCTATTGTAGCTTATTTTTAAATAATTAACGGATCTTCGTTGAAATCTTTTTGCATTTTACAATATTGGGATAGCTATAGGTCAAATGTTGCTTCAACCGAGTGATTCCTCTATCCCGACCAGTGTAGTCACAATGTTCGCACCGCTAATGATGACGGTTGTTGTCCAAACAGTAGGCATGATCCTAAGCATTATCATATACCTATTCCTTTGGTGTAATGTTCCTATAAAAATTTATTAAATTAACAAGCTACGATTAGCCCTAATTTCCATCGAATTTAAAATAACAAGCTGTGATTATTTGTAATGAATCTCACCTTGCCATTATAAATATGTTAATCATCTTAATATTGGATTAAATACATAAAATTGACCCAATATTGGTTAAATTACAATGAAATCATTATTAAGCCAATCAATAAAGTCATCAACATTAATTTTACCTTCAAACTCTGGAATATCCAATCTTGGGTTGTATTTGTTCTTCCACTCGTTTTGGACACCATGTCTTGCTCGGAATCTTCTCGACTCCCTTGGATGAGGAGGTGTATTATTATCAGAAGTAAATTCATGGACATCATTTTCATGCTGGTTGTGTCTACTTTGAAGTTCTTCGATTATTTCATTTTTTTCTTGTAGACTACGCAACAATCTTCGTAGTTGTAGCCTCAATGACTCAGCATCATCTTCATGGCAACCACCTTCACCAATTATATCTTTTTCATTCCGCCTTGCATTATCTCTAACCTTTAGCTCTGATACCAAACTGATACCGAGGGTGATGCAGAATAGGGTGATAAAGCAGAATAGATTTTGATAGAAAACCGATAGCAGAGCTATATTTGCTTGAATGAGTATTTTGATTAGAAAAGTCACTGTAGATGAGGAATGAACTCTCGAAGAAAAGTCGCAGTACAGTTGTATTTGCTAGAATGAGTGTTTTGGATAGAAAAAGAACGAACTCACGATAAAACTTAAATAAGATCGAAAAATAGCTCACCACCAAGTTAAAATCACAAAGGGATATAGAAAGTTCACCACCCTAAGGATTATAAACGAGGATATAGAACTGAAATAAAAAACTCAACACTTAAGGATGCATCCAAGAGATACAGTTTTTGTGAGTACTTCAAGAGAGCTTCTGCCATAATATTATCAGTTTTAAAAGTCCTTTCTAAGCTCTAAACACCAAAATAAGTACTAGTGCA